AATAAAAATAATAGAAGGTGTTTCATATAAATAGATTATTTCGAATGAGAACCTAAGGAATGTTATTTTCTAAAACTGTTTTCTACTATGTAAAATACTATTTCATTTGTTTTATATTAGTTGTCTACATTCTAACATTACTAAAAATAGTTATTTTAAATTACTTGTCAATTTACAAAATCAAGAGAGAATGAATTAATTTTTTTTTATCATTTTACCTTACAATTGGTTTGTTTAAAGTGTACAATAAAATTTGTGAAGTTTCAACAAAAATTCTCAAGGAGCAAATTAGTAAAACTATTTTCTAAAAAAATTATAATTTCTTAAAATAGATGCAAAGGAAAATGTAAACAAAGATGGAGAAAGTAGAATTTACATAGTTAACAGTTAACACGACTAGCTAGCTTAACAATAAAGAGAAAATAGTTGGTGTATAAAAAAAATATGTGTGGTTGAAAACACAACAACCGACCTTAGCTCAGTTGGTAGAGCGGAAGACTGTAGTAGGTAAAAAGCCTGACAGATGATCTTTAGGTCGCTGGTTCGAATCCGGCAGGTCGGATTTTTTTTTCAAATTTCAAGCAAAAGAGTTACTTTTTATTTAAAGAAAAAAACTTGTAAATAGAAAAAACAAAAGGATAACGGCAACTCTTAAAAGCTACTACAACAACATACTAGTGTGATCTTGTACGCAAATTTTACACCTACTTTGTGAGATAGAGTGATTTTGAATAGACCTTAACTCAAGATGAACTATCTCTATATTTTCCGTGGAGAAATATCTTCATCCCTTACTAAAAAACAACAACTTGGTCTTTGCTTCTGACCTTGGAATGCATAGGTGGAGGAGTGACCCAAAACTTAACAGAGATATGAAAATATAGAATTGGAAGAACATTTGTTGAAATTGAAGCCTTGCACTTAATTCTCAAGTAGCATAGGATGAGATTTGCAAGGCTATCAAATCTCCCCAACAAAATTAGGACATTCACCTTTTAGATTCTTTCAATTTTATTCATTATTTTTATCAGTTATGAATTCAAAATTTATAATTTGTTGAAGTTTTTAAAACTTTTCATATTATCATATACATAGGAAGTGAGCAACTCGAAACAATAGTTACTAATATTAACAAACTAGATATTATTAATTTTATGAATTTTCCGAGAATTGCATATTGAAAGTAATACCGATTCTAGTAAAAAATAATAATTTATTGGAAGTATCTTATAACAGTCTAACTTAAAGTTGACTTATTTATCAATAGTATTTCTCTAAGATATATTTCTTGTCACATGCATACCACACTAGTCCTTCTTTCATCATTACCCAAGTCACCAATATCTTTACCGTATATATCATTACCAACATAAGCAGTGAGATCTATCTCTAAATAAGACATGAAGATTTTTTTAAAAAGTCTTCTCTCAGTATCAATGATAATGATATATATATATATATATATATATATATATATATATATATATATATATATTGAAGATGTTGATTACTTCGTTGATGACAGAAAAAAGAATAGTAGCGAACATTACTCCAAATATATATACTTTTTTTAAACACACAATTGATAGAAATGGTAGAAGGAAATGAGAGGTTAGAGAGAAAAGGAATGAGAAGACATAGAAGAATAAAGATGAAGTGATACACACTTCAATAATATTCACATAACCTTCAATTGCTCCACAAAACACTATTTACATTAGAATCCCAAATTTAATAGGAAAAATTACTTAAATACACAACACTTCTTTACCTATTCTCAATATTTCCCTACTCTTTTACTAAAATACAAAAATCCCTTATTTTCCCCCAATTCAACTTAACCGGATACTTTATTAGTTTAAGTATCCGCCCGTTATTAATTAAAGTATCTGCGCTGCTATATTATGCATCCGCCCGTTAATTAAGTATCTGTGCTGCTAACAACTTAATAATTTAAGTATCCGCCCGTTATTAGTTAAAGTATCTGCGCTGCTATATTATGCATCCGCCCATTAATTAAGTATCCGTGCTGCCAACAACTTAATAATTTAAGTATCCGTCCGTTATTAATTAAAGTATCCACGCTGCTATATTAAGTATCTACACTGTTATATTATGTATCCGAAAAACACTAAAAAAAGGGATTTTTGATAATTAATGAAAGAGTAGGGAAAGAAAGTAATTTCTTTCTTATACTATGTCATTTGCCTAATTTTTACAATTTAATATTGTGTTGGGCCGTTTTGATAATTGATTAATATTGATCAAAATCTAATCATAACGAGAATTGATATAACAAGTTAACATATTATTCGATTTAAATAAACCAAATTAATAGAAAAATGGCAAATTCGAGTTTAACGACTTATATAGCCTAATAATTTTTAGGGAAATTTTCGCAAATAGCCAATGTAATAAACTTAATTATGCTACATAGCTATAATTTGCATATTTACAGGTTAAAGCTACAGTTTAAGCTGCCTCTTTTTGTATAATTCGCGGGTACATTTGTATAATTCAGTTATTTTTGTATAAACTCGAAATAACGAATTTATACAATTACAAACATCATAAGCGCAAACAATTATTCAAATTATATTATACAAATTCTGAATTATACAAAAGTTATACAATTATATTATACAATTTCGAATTATACAAATGTGCGAATTATACAAAACAAAAAAGCCGAGTCGCGTAATTATAGCTAAAAGTAGGCCGCGAATTGTAATTAATGCAAACTATAACTATGTTAACTAATTAACTAGTATATGTTTGCTTATACATGTAACCTTCTTCAACCATATAGAAATAAATATGAGACTTTCTCCTAAAATGAATTATAGCTAAAAAAAAATTATAGGTAAAACATACTCCCTACGTTTTATATGATTTGGTGATAAACTTTTTAATTTTCTTTTAATTAAATATTAAAATTATTACTATTTTAATTTATTAAGTATAATATATATATATATATATAAACACTCTTAAGCATTTGATAAAAATGATTAAACAAAGAACAAATGGGAACTTGGTAATCCGCCATGTCAGACTTCAACTAGTATAACGACCGGAAACTTCATATCTCGCTCTTGCTGCTTCTATCCTACGCACCTTTCTGATCGTATTTCGTTTTGTCACTCCTCGTCCAAGTCAATTAGGTGAAAAGTTTTTGTTTTAGCGTGTTGAATAAACATAAATCGTAAGGTTTTCTTAGGTTGAAAGTGGACCATCATCAAACTGTTCTGTTAATTAGAGAGAAAAACGCAATTGGATTTGTTGCTCTTGGATCCTCAATTGTGAGTGTTTTGATTAAAGGGAAATATGGAGAAAGTGAAGAATATATTGAAGCCGAAACCGAACCCTCAACAGCTTTTGAGAGATTGGCAACGTCGCCTCCGACAAGAGTGCCGAAATATCGAACGCCAAATTCGAGGTAAAACTAATTATGTTCCCTAATTACGCTTTCTATTTGATTTTCAAGTTAAGGAAGGAAAGGGTTTCTGCTTATCTGTTTTTTTTTTTGGGTGATTTGAATGTTTGATGATTGTTGTTGGTGGGTCTTGATTTATTTTGTTTGGTTTCATGTAATTTGGGGGTTTCACCAGATATACAGAGAGAGGAGAAGGTTGTACAGAAATCAATTAAAGAAGCTGCTCAGAGAAATGACATGGGTTCTGCTAAGGTAATGTAGAACTGCTATGATTAGCTTTTCAGTTTGAAATATATTTGCTTATTTGACTTTTAGTCTTCTGCTGAATGCTGATGATTGAAAGTTACCAAGTTCAAAAAAAAAAAAAAAAAAAGAATGCTGATGATTGTTTTTTTTTGTTTCGTAATCCTTTGATATTGATCGATAAGGAATATCAATTGACAAGTATTGTTAAGTATGGTCTTTGAGAAAATTTTGGTGTTCCAGGAATAAGCCAGTTGATCTGAGATGGAAGTTTGAGTTTTAGTTTTTGATGCTTTTACCCTACATTATGAGAGAATTCCCATGAAGCACACTTGTATATGGTGTTTTTTAAAGTTCGGTGTTTTGCAAAAGTATTGCATCTTGAATTACTATTGTTTTCCCCTCCTCCTTGGTTTAATTTTGGTTAACAATATTCAAGGGTCTTTTCGCTGTAGTTTGTTAGCTATATCTATGTCACTCTGCTGCCTCTTGGGGAATGCCCAAATAATATCAGAAAGTTAATTTACTATTGGAATATGTTGGAAATTGCTAGACTGTATATCATAATGTTTTTGTGGTGTTCATATAATGTTTTGTTTTTTATTTAAGTTGTTTATTCATATATTTATTATGAATGTTATCTATCCTCTAGCTGTCTAGCATTTGCTGAAGAACTTATGGAATGTATTAGGATTAGATGAGCTTAGTGGAGTGACATGCTTAGTGATAATTCATATAGCTGACCCTAGCTTCCGAATAAAGTTGGTGAAATGAAAAAGAGAAGCATGGGCTTTGTTGTTGTTAAGCTAAATCTTGTAAACTTCTGTTATTTCGGACCTAGGAATAGAGTTGGTGAAATGAGAAAGAGAAGTATGGGCCGAATTCCTCTTCCTCCATCCCATGTAATTGGATAGAGCTTGATTGGCATAAAAGTTAAGATGTTCTTTTGAATTGATATTAAGTTAGTGACAACTGAAGGAAGTATAAAATAGTAGCTGAAAGTTTGATTTGTTGAGGTTAGAAAATTTTAAATTAATGGTTAAACAACTTTGCAATCTTAGAATTTGTGAACGTTGATATTGTACAGAATTACATTATAAGTAGAGCATTTTGGAACATTGCATCTTACACGAGGACTGAAAGTGCATTTCTATCTGTGTCTTGTCAAGGAGTTCCAGGTGTTTGAAAAATGCTTCATCTTTATTTATTGATATTTGGTTTTCTCTTCGTGGTCTTTATCCAAGATGCAAGCACACTATCTGGGTTATTTGGTTGTTTGTCATAGAGAAAACTCTATTTTCTGATTTCTGGGATTAAAGAGTTTTGTCTATGTTTAATATATTAGGGCTTTCCAGCATTCCAGGATAATCATCAACAGTTATCATGCCTTCTGATTTCATGATTTTATGTTCTATTGCTTATTCACATTTTAATGTTGTGTTTTGTCATAGTCACTAGCCAAAGAGCTCGTGAGATCTAAAAGAACTGTGAACCGATTGTACGAGAACAAGGCACAGTTGAATTCGATATCCATGCACCTTGGAGAAAGTGTTGGTAAGATACTCTTACTCCATACTCCATCTGGTATTTTGTCGTTATTTATTGATGAAGTGTGTAATCACTCCTCTACGGTCTTTGATGATCAAATTGTTGGAAGCACTGTATGTATCTTCTGAAAATGAAGTACTAATTATTCTTGATGTGGATAAAGTGATGTATTCTCTCTTATCTGACTCTTCAACATTTTAGGGTGTAGACAAATTCACGCCTTACGGGCTTCTCAGTTTCCTGGGTGCAAGTATTGTTTAAGGATATTTTCAATTATGTCACCGCATATACGCCCTCGATTCAAACTAAATGTCCTGTTGTACTTTTGCACCCTTCTTAGGAAAAAGATACCGTGTATAATTTATTGAGTTGGAGTTTCAAGATAAATTGCCTATTGACTTGAAGATTAATTGTGAGGTAATAGATTACTTTTTGAGTTGCAGATGTGGGGAAGTTAGAATTAGGACTCCCAAAATTTCTTATACTTCTGGTGTTATATGATAAGAGGTGAAATATTCTTTTCGGGGGATAGACGATTGGAAATATTTTGGTAAACAAAACCATGACTCAGTCGAGTTGATATAAAGGAGTACTTTTTATGTTTGACTGCATTGCTTTCTTCCCTCCTATCGTCATCATCTTTTATAGATTGCCTCGTGCACATCACCTCTGAAAGGAGAAACTAAGCATCCTTCCACCATTTCATATTATCTCAAGTTTCCAATAGAAGGAATGGCCATCAATGGCTATGAACACAGTAATGATTGATCCATTGACCCCACTTTGAGTTTCTAGTTCTTTCTACTTCTTTCTGGTTCCATCACCCACCATGTTTTATCTGAACTGTTCAAAAATATTGGAAAGGGATCTTCTAACTTATCTCTCTATCCAATCATAATATGTTCGTTTTTATCTTGTTTGGTCCTCAGTTACCCTTTGGCTGCCATGATAATTGGTTATGGCTATGGTGACAGAGTTTGGGATGTAAGTAACAGGGGAGGAGGGAATACTCCTATGACTCCCTGTCTCACAATCACCCTTTCCTACGCAACCTCTGTTTAGTCCTAGTTGTTGATCTCGTAAAAGGGTCAGGAAGTCTTAATGATCCAGAAAATGTCAGAAAAACTTGAAATCATGCATTACTTTCTCCCCATACGCCGAAGGAGATTTAATAGTGTTTCAGCGTCAGTATAGTCTAGCTGCATCACTAATATGTAATCTCTTGTGCATACCACTGATGAGTAAATCTACTCAGCAACTCTGGAGCATCTAAACAGGAGACAGAAGTAATTGTCTTATCTGTAGCTCCAAACATTATAGCTTTAAACTTTCAAACCACTAGTAACTGATTTGTTCTTAACGTAATAACTAATAAAGTTAGCGGCCACCTTCATACTTTTATCTGAAATTCCAGATAAGAACTAACTCAATTCATTTGATTTGTTCTAAAGGAAAAGAAAATCTTTTGCCTTTTAGTTACTAGCATGGACTTTTGGTAAGTTTGTTATAATTATTGGAAGCATGTTGGTGATTTATATATTAAGATATTTTGTTGTATAAAATTTTTATTGTAGGTGAAGATAATGAGTTAAGCCTTATTTTTCTTAACAAGAAACTTTTCTATGAAAGGTGGTTCCTGATAGATTTATTAGTGTCGGTAGGACATTTGGCAAGTAGAGGTTCATAGCAGACATTTGGAATTTTAATGCTAGAAGTCAATTGTGAAGTCAATTGTATTTTCATTATCACCTTATGTCCCGGTATGAAAGAAGAATTCTGTCATATCTTACACCTAGCTTTGTCGAACACTTTCCGAGATTGTTTCCTCTTGCTTAGTTCTGATTTTGGATGCTCACATTTTGCTAATATATCTTGCAAACCTGAGTGTATGTACACATTTTAAAGGCTGGATCTTATCTTTAAGACACTTCTGATTGAAATTCTTCTGCTCCATTACATGTTGCAGTAATACCTTCCTTGAGATAATTTAGCAGCACTGTAAATTTGTCTTAAAATGCTGCTACACAACCATATTTGGATTGCTTAAGCTGGATAGATGGTCAAAGCAGACATTGCTAACTTTTATGCCGCATTCATTTGTATGTTGAATGCCTTCAAGTATCTCATAAACTTCTAATTCATGTTTGCAGCTATCGCTCGCACAGTGGGGCATTTGTCCAAGAGTTCTGAGGTCATGAAGCTCGTTAATAATCTTATGAAGGCTCCAGAAGTGGCTATTACAATGCAGGAATTCAATAAAGAGATGACCAAGGTATCTATTTGGCATTAGTTTTTTAAGCTCTGAAGAGGCTTCTGAGTTCTCTCTTGGTTGGTGAATCACCTTTGGATTTGTATGCATCTGATTTTTCAATATGTTGTTAAGCTCTATGATGTGCCATGGTCATATTTTGTTCTTCTGTACTCTTGCTTCTTCTGCCTTCCTTCCTATGAGAAAACGAGGACAAATTCTGCATTTTAACTTTTGAATCAACTAGCCAGCCTCTACCGCAGGAGAAAATGGGAGGGAAAGAAACAGGAATATTTGTTCCACATTTTCTTTTAGTGTGTCTTTCTTCTTGAAATGTAATGCACTCTCTCTACTTTGCTGCAGGCTGGTGTCATTGAAGAAATTGTGAATGATGCAGTGGACAGTGCATTGGATTCAGAAGACATAGAAGATGAGATTGAAGAAGAAGTTGACAGGGTCTTAACTGAACTTGCTGGTGAGACTGCTGCGCAACTTCCTGAAGCAGTCCGAAAGGAGAAGCTAAAGCAACCTGCCCAGGCAGTAGGAGATGCAGAGGTCCGTCACATCTATAATCCATTGCATATAAGTGTAATTGATCTTTTCAATGATGATATAAGGTGATATGTAATTCTTTCAGGATGCTGATGACGAGGAAGATCTAGAAGAACTGAGGGCTCGTCTTGCTAAAGTAAGATCATAAGTGATTCTTCAACTGACTTTCAGTTCCCGAGGGTTCAACTATAAACATGCAGTATGTGAAGTGGCAGACTCCTTGTCTGTTCTGCTGTGGCTGCATCTTCTTTCTGGTTAAGGAAATAGTAGAGTACTTTATGTATCTTAGTATCAACTTCTCCGTGATGTCATATCAAGCTCTTGATACCATGTAATCATTGTCCAAATCCAAGATTTTACTCTCTCACGCTATGTGTGATCGGAAATGTGATGCTTTTCAATGTATGGAATGAAACACTATATTAATGACTTGCAGTCTTTACTATTGCTGTCTAGCAGAATTGGCCATCTTAACGATCTTGAAATGTTCAATTTCTTTTCGCCTCCATCACTTGTGTATTCTTCTAACTCGGGATTTAGTGGAATATTTTGTTGATACATTCCAGCCTAATTTTAGTTGTATGATGATTATCCCATGGTTTGAAAATATGTTGCAGTAGTCATTGTTTTTCGAGTCCATGACTAACCCCATGTGCATCGTGTAACACCCATCTTATAAGGGGAAAACGCTTCCTACTATGATATCTCTCATTCTTAGAATTGAACTCGAGGCCTTTGTTTAAGGGTGTTAATTAGAAGTTGCATTTTGTTTCTGTAGTTGAAAAAAATACTTTTGGTTAGATCACATTGTATTTCCCAAATAAAATTCCAACTTCCTTATCTCACCTTCAGTACTAATAATATCCAATATGTTCATATATATACATATTGTCCTCCACACATTTCCACGCTTTATCATGCTAGCTATTGTTTGTTTGGATATTTAATCAGTTTAACATGAAGAACACGGTGAACAAGAGATCTCAGTAACGTAAAACAATCATGCACCAATCTTAACTCTTACTACTACTAATTATATCAATGACGGCATACCAACTTGTAATTCTCAAGTATAGTTTCCCTAATATAAAATGCTTTAGTACTATATCAAAAGTTCAAAACAACTGAAGCTATATTTTAAAGATACATATGGTTTTCAACTTGCTTTGGTTATAGTATTAAAAGTCCAATTATGAAAATTTACATACGAAGGAGAATAAGTTAAAATCTGCTTAACATCATTTGATAGATTGCACTTTTTTTAGAATATACATGTTAAAATGTATATCAAATTATACATTTTTTTTTTCAAGTGCTTTGGTTAGAGTGGTCCAATTATGATGATAGTAAGTCACAACTCACAACATTAACTACTGTAAGTCGCAAGTCGCAACATTATGAAGAATCTAGGAAGTATTTGTGATGTTTTAACATTAACTTTCAAATTCTTTTTCAAATTTATAGAAAATATACAATAATTAATATGGATATTATAATAAAATATACACTTTATTTATTATTTCTTGAAAAGTGTACAGATTCCTTGACAAGAAAAAATAAACAGAAGATGTCCTTATTATAATCAATATTGTGTTAGTTTTTTTAATAGGTGTTTAAAATTTTTAAACGATAGATAAAGTCATAAAACCATTTTCACAATTTCATTCCACGCATTGATCAGGAGTTAATCATATACAAATTCCTTGCTAAAGATCAAACTCTATTTCATATTTACTCCCGTCATCAATTTGTTTTATGATCATTAATTCCACAAAAATTAATTGTTTTAGGCTTTATGGGGACAGAATAAACAGCACTTGCATTTACGTTTCCTATTGGGTCACCAATGTTTCCCTTTCAAGTAACATGTTTCAAAGCCTGGATCCCTATTTCTTACAGCTAAACACACAAATTTCAGTGCTAAATGATACCTTCAGCCCAAAGACATGGAAATACATTAAATTCCATCACTTTCGGACTTGTTTTCTACAACAATATCACATTCACATAATTACTTTAATTTCGATTTATTTGATCTTTATATTAAAAAATATTTTTTTTCTTTTCTCAGGATCAAATGAGATTTACTATTTTCTTTGAATATTTTTTTTTTGTCATTAAATGATTATATAAAGTACTTCATCTGGTCCATTTTACTTTTCATG